AAGCAGTTAAAAAAAGATTTTCTATAAATATCTATTTGTTTTTTGCTTCGTTATAAAGAATATTGTCCTCAGTATGATCAAAAAAAACAACAACGATACGTCACATAAATTATGTACAGTACATTTAAATCATTTTCTTTCGTAAATACAACAATTGTTAGATATAATTTCTTTTTTTTTATTTATTGAGTAATTCAATGTGACATTTTTATTATTTTAACTGAACTTAGCAAACTATTGTGAAACAAAAAGAAAAACGAATAAATAGATAAGATACTCAAATGATCTATCAAAGTCAATATCAAAAGAAACAAAAAAAAAAAAAGGTATATAAATGTGCTTCTATTATCTGACGTCATAAAAACATCGAAGAGTATATTCATGTACGAAAGATTATTGAGACGAACTACGTCGTGGACTGTTTTATCAAGTACTCAAAAAATTCATTCAATGTCTACTTGGAATATTAAAAATCAACATTCATCTTCGGATTGTAGTTCTGTATGTATTTAACTTTCATATTTGATAAATGCAATGAACAATCTTAACAGATTTTCTTTTTTTATTCTTCGATAAGCTAAAAGAAATTTGAAGAGACATGAAATAACTGTATGCATTGCCTTCGTATTTTTTTTTTCTCTTTCAATCATGAAATCGATTGAGTCAGTCAAGGATTTAGTTTTATTCAACTACGAAACTACTAATGTGTCATATATGTATACACATAAAACAAATGAAAAATCAACAATCATCAAAGAATAAATAAGATTATATATATATATTATCACAAAAATAGCATCAGTCAATTCATCAATCTTTAATATGTACAAAAAAAAAGAGAAAGAGGTGAAGGCGACGATGTACAAGAAAAATAAATATAAAATCCTCTTATTACATGCAGTATTCGAGGACAAGTGATTATGATAGTGTAACTCGAAGCATAGCTCATACTAACTAAAAGATATCACTAAGAAACATCTGCATTAATCGTTGTAAAAATTATTGTGTATAAAAAACTTGAGAATCAGAGGGAGAGAGGACAAAAAATAATTGATGATATTGATCTGTAGATTTTATGAACAGAAAAAGTATACTATGAAAATTTATGCCTGAACACATACACCTTTTTGATTCAGTTGACATACACATATACAAATGTTTATATATACGCCTGTTAGTCCTACATAATCTTTGAGTAAACGACAACATAGATAGAGATTTGTTTAGCCTATCTTTCTGCCTTACTCTTTTTTTGCTTCGCTTTTTTTTCTCCATCATGTTTATATGTATCACAAGAGACGGCAGCGCTAGCGATGACAAAAAAAATGGTCTGTATCTATCATTGATCCACATCATCATCGCTACTACCAATAGTTTTCTTCGTTTTTTCTTTTACTGGAAATGACACACACACTCACATATACGCTTCGCATACATATATATAAAAGGCTTATCTATCACATAGTACTAAGCAGCCGGGAGGAAGAGAAGGAAAACAATGTGCACACATGCCTATTCGTATCGTAAGCATATAAAGAGAGGTGATAGTATGTAAACTCATTCACTACCACGTTATTTCGTACCAAAGTCATATATAATCCAATCAAGTAAGAAAATGAAAGACAAACGAATAAAAACGATTCGATTGTTTGTTCAAATAAATACTTTATATTCTTTTTTTTCGAACACTTTTTTGATTATCAACGCAGCGGATTAGAATTACATTGTTTTAATTAGTCTTTCCACCCTCAAACATGTTGAATTAAGAATAAAGAAAATGAAGAGAAAAAGAAACGAGAGAGAGAGAGAGAGAGAGAGAGAGAAGAACATAAACTGTTCCCTTTTCCTATTTTTTCTTTCTCTTCTTTATTCAAAATATGATCAATTGAGTCCGATAAATAATTGTATTAAAATATCGAAAGGAAACAGAACATGATTTCACCAATACCATCACGAAAACGTCACTTGTTTCAGGTTAATCGACATGTACGAGCTTCTATAATGCTATTGTCAGTCATGGATGGTGCTGAACTTGATCTTAACAATACAATTCTTTCTTCATCTTCAAAAGCAGCAGCAATAACAACAACAACATCATCATCATCAATATCAACTTCTGATGATTATGAAAAAGGTTTATTGTTTTAAGACAAATTTCTTTTAATATTTTAATATTCTTTAGATCTTCAATTAGCTGCTGAACTTGGCAGATGTTTACTTGAACGAAATCAAGAATTACAAAATTATATAGATATTTTACAAAAACAAATTGATGATGAAGAATGTAATACAAAAGTAAGAACATTGAAAATAAACATAAATATATGAAATATATTTTTTTTTTAAATTATTATAATATAATGTAACATATTATATCTATATTAAATTTTAGTTATTACATGCTAAACTTGAATCAACTCGTGAACAACTCGATACAAAATGTAAACAAACAGAAATATTAGATGCATCTAATATTGATTTAGAACGAGAACTTGCTCGACAACGTCGAGAAAATGAAATAAATCGACAACGTATTCAAGAGTAAGTATTCATATTAAAATATTCATTCAACCATATGAATATATAAAAATAGACACATATACAAATAATATATATTCATCATTTATGCTCTAATTATTCGTACATATACTGTCTAGTCATATCTTACCGACGGGCATGAACTAGACAATGATGATTATTAATACATTGAGATCATTATTTATTTTTGATCTTTTTTTTTTTTCTTCTAGGTTATCTGATTTATGTGAAAAAACACGTAAACAATATCTTGATATTGAACATGAATATGAGACATTTCGATTAAAACAGTCTACAACTCATTTTTTTCCTAAACAATTACATTCTCCTGTACAAAAATCGAATAATTCAACATTAAAATCAACAAAACTACAACGTTCTCATTCGTTTGATTTTAATTCGATATCAAGTTCGTCGTCATCATCATTATCGTCAGACTTATCAACATCTTCAAATAGATTTGATGTATCATCAGCATCAGTTTTTAAAACACAACTTACTGAACTAAAATCACGTATTAATTCATTAACAACAGAATGTTCAAGATTAAATGAAAGACTTGATAAATCTCGACAAGAAAAACGTTATTTAATTGATCGTATAACACTACTCGAACGACAACGTCGTGATGATAATGATTCATTACAAAATGAATTAAATCATTGTAAAAAATTATTAGAAAAATATACAAATGATAATTCAAATATAATTCTATCGAATATTTATTCACCACCTGAACATGAAGTATCATTATATGATGAAGTTTTATTAGAAAATAAACAATCAATAAGTAAACCATCTTATGAATTAACAAATTATAAAGATTTATTTGCACGTGTTTATGAAAAACTAAAAATAAGTAATAATAATAATAATAATGATGCATGATGTTATAAATATTGTACAAAATCAAAGCTCATATATATTACTTTTTTTTCTTTCTCACGTTCTTAATTCCTTGAACTTTTAGTATTTTGTATGTGTTTATTCGATTTCTTTTCAATATGAATGTATTTTTCGAATTCATTCTATATTGTGTTATATATTACAGTTCGTGTTTATATACAGTGTGGATAGATGTTAAACTTGTGTAATTCGCACTGTGTTTGTTCGTTAGTTTCTTTTTTTTTTTTTAAACAAGTATCTATCACATCATGCGTTTGTTCGCAATCTCGTACACATTGTCTTTCTCGTTTTCAAGAAGTATAATTCATGTGTGCGTACTGGTTTTTTTTTCTTCTCGATATTTTATCATTTTCTTATTGTTCATTTGTTTTTTTGTTCATTGAATAGTCTCGTTATAGTTAATTGTTTTTTTTTTTTTTTTTTTTTGAAAAATCTTTAACACACAAAAAAAGAAGGTCGATAGTTGATACATTATTTAAAAACGAAATCCTTTTGTATTCATCGATAAAAATGAAAGTTATTTGATACTTTTCGTTATTCTCATCCATCACTCTTTGATACTAAAAACAAAAGTGGGATAATTTGATTATTTAGATTTTTTATAGGTAAAATGTTTCGAATAGTTTTATAATTGATCAATGAACTATAATCTTTGTCAATATTTATTTTTAATAGGATTAATTCTATAGTCAAGATAAAGATTTGATATTTTTCTACTGAATGAGATATAAAACGTATGAATTATAACAAGTAAGAAAATAAAAATGATATCATCAAGGAATAATCGAATTAAACAACCTTCAAAAATCGTTATATTTCTTATTAAATTATGAATTTTTATTAAATTTTAACTATCAATAATCATGTTGACAAAGTTAAAAAACATCACAAAAAAAAATCATATCTAAAATATTGTAATCATAATAAAATTGTTTACAAAATATTTAATTTCTTATGAATATTCGAATATATTTTGTACTATTTATATGATAGAGAATGTTAGTTTCCAAAAAAAACCTATATTATCGTATACATAAATCATTTTATTTATTCATTATGACAAGTTCGAATGTGTAATACATTGATGATTTTATATTCTTCAATAACTAATATTGAATATTATCAAGAATTGATTCTAGTGTACATTGGAGTCCATGAATAAACTAGTGTCTTGAAATAAAAACAGAATGTATTCAAAAATCGATGGACTATCTTGTTTTGAAGTATTAGTTAGAAATCAGATCATTCAATCGAAAAAAAAAAGAAACATCAAATAGCAATTTTTGTCTGTGTTTTTTCCTATTTACGTCATTAATATTATACTTCCATAAAACTGCAGCAAAAAAAAACGACGTATATTAAATTATTTTGTTTACATACCCCTATTTCACACGTCACATACTTGACTAATTTATATTGGCAGTTCGTTTTGTATATAAATAGCGTGCGTAGGTATATTTCTGTATACTTATTTTATATTTTTAATAAAAACAATACAATAAATTAATATGTATTGGTTTCTCATAATAGAATTGCTTTTATTAATTAATAAATCAATGGAATGTACAGTACCTTCATTTTCAAATTTAACTGTTCAATCAAATTTTAGTTTACAAAATTTTCTTGGAATATGGTACGAAATACAATGGCTATCAAGTGAATATCATAATGCATCAAGTATATGGAGTGATTATTCTCAATCATTTCAATTAGAAAATAATGTTAGTCAACGTCTTCTTGTTTATGGTAAAGCACGATTTCCTAATGCAGAACAATGTTTTTCATTTGGTCCATGGTTAATTATTGCAAATAATAGTGCACAAATGATTTTGCAAACCCAAGATCTCAATAGTAGTAAAATACTTAATTGGCCTTATTATATATTAAAAACTGATTATAATCATTCTGCATTAATTTATGCATGTATGTCAGAAAATTATACACAAAATGATCCATGTAACAAATCAGTATTATGGATATTTAGTCGAAAAAATTATTTATCAAATGAATATTTAAATGAACTTTATAATTATATTGAAAATATTTTATGTTTTAATTCAACAAAACTTGAAATAACGCCACAAAGTGAAAGATCATGTTATACATCGTCATCATTAGGATTAAAAATATGTCTGATGAATAAATTTTTTTTTTTTAATTTTACATATTTTGTATTTACTTCAAATATACAAATAAATGTGTCCGATAAAAAAAGAATAAAAAAAAAAGAAAGGATTACTTTTAGTGATATTGTTTCATATAGAAGAGAAAACTAGACAAAAAAAAATGTATATAGATATTTAACTAATTCATTGTTGTAATTTTGTAATATAGCATCTTGTTGTGATATGATCAAAATGGATCGATTGAATCAGAAAGAAAAATAAATCAGTTCTTATCATCAATAACTGTCATGTCATTTTCCATAGTAATAAAGACATATGATATACTCTCTTTGAAAAAAAATCTTTTCGTTTGATCTATCAATAGCAGATCTACTTCGCACTATGAAGATCTCTACATAAAAGTTGGGTAATGCAAAAAAAAACGTTTTGTAATAGGTAGCAGGTAGTTTTAACATGTTATCCTTGAAAAGAACGAATACATTGTGCCCAGATTTTTCGCATATCATCAAATATTTGATTCTTGTTTCCATTTTCTTATGTGATGAGACAGACACGAGTCTTATGTTATTTTCTCATATATCACAATCACAAACATTTTGTTTATGTTCATCAAATGTATTCATTTGTTTTTTGTTTCAAATGAAAATAAAAATGTTAAAAATAAAAACAATAAAATAGATACATCATATTTCCTGCGATGAAGACTATAATAAAACTCACTGAAACAAAGATATACACGAAACAAATTTCATAGCTGCTACGTGGACGAATGTTTTCTTTTAGAATTAGAATATCATGAAAGTTTTACTATAAATTATTTGGATATCGATTGCTTGCTCACGAAAAATTAGAATTTTTTAAGAAATTTCCTTAAAAGTAATTTCGAATTATCTTTGAGAAAAAAGTCTATCAATTTGGTTACAGCACATGTTATAGATAATTCTAAAAAAACATCATGAAAGAAATTGATCATTCGTTAGTGTACACGGTAGCGGCGTAACCAGAAATTTAAGAGTGGTGGGGCTCAGCCCTCATAGTTTATATATGAGGAGATCAATATCAATAAACTCTTAAACATAACATCAGAACCCAGATAAAAGACTATTTTTACACACTGAGTAGTCTTGATGAGTAGCCAGTAATTCAGATGAATGAGCAAAATATAATGAACACAAAAACAATAATATTTATTTCAACATAATACGACTACTTTTATGAATATCTGAGAATTTAACAATAAGATTTTCAAAATCTATATCGATACTACGCTCGACTATTTAGAAACAGAAATCGCTTAGACGATCATCATTCGTTGCATTTCTCACTTTTGTTTTGATCAGTTATTTTTGAAAATGTGCGTTTACATGTCATTGAAAATACTGGAATAGTCATTGCATTTTCGATAAGTGCAATCAGTGTTGAAAATGCTTCTGTAAAAGGATATAATTCTTGATATAAACCAACTATAGTAGTTAATGATTCATGTTCTAACATGGGTTACACAACAACTAATTCATTGAATAGAACATCGACATCAAAATTCAAATGATCAGTAAGTGGTTTTAACGAGTCAAAATGTAAAAACGTATCACCATCTGGACATAATGATGAAACACTTGATAAAATATTTTAAGTTTTTGATAAAAATTGATCTCTTAACTCAACTAGTATATTACTAATTGATCGGTAATAGATGTATGCTCTATAATATTGTTCATTTTCATTATCATCGTGTTATCCCATCGTATTAGTAATAACTGAGTTTTTGAATCTGATAGAAACAGCTCGTTTTCGATGTTATGTTGGTTTATCTTTGGATTTATGTTGTTTTTTTGATAAAAACTGATTATTGTTTGAAATAATTGTTGAAAAGATTTTTTTATTTCGAGAAGAATCAAGCTCTTGAATTATAGATCGAATTAGTTGTTATACTTTATCATAATCAAATACTTTAGCTATAAATAAAGAACCAAACATGAAAAGAGACCCTATTATTTTTGCAAATCACTAGGTACCTTTTAATTTGTCTGATACAACTTTTATTTGAAATTACACAGACATCCTCAACAACTAAAACTTCATTTGAGAGTTCTATAGTTGAATTTCGTCTATTGTTATATATCAGACTAAGCATGAGAGGGCTCAAGTTCCCGGTGGTGAATCTGAGCCCTACTTGGCTCCCCATGGTTACGCCACTAATACATGACTACTCTACCTAATTCTTCCTAATGGGAACATCAAAATAGTTGATTCTTTGAATTTTTTATCAATAAATCTTTCTACATTTTAAATAATTCAAGCAGGAAAAATAACTTGTGAACAACATTGATTATATATACTAGCTCAAGAGACAAATCTGAATTAAAAATAATCATTAAATCACTAAAAGACCAACAATAATATCTTAGCTAGCACTCCAAACAAGGTATCCAAGATGTTTCCGATGAGAGAAAGTTCTCCTTTAGAACAACTGTAACTAACAAATATTTAATGATAACCAATGATATAAATCATCGAAGTAAAAATGTATTTGACTTAATACTATTTGAATTTTTCAAGTGATCAGAGAGAGACAGGTCAAATTATCAACAGGCAGTTTCTATTGAGCAAAATGCTATTTGCTTGCTGGACCATTAATACAGCAAAAAAAAATAGAGGTCAGTACTATTGAAAAATAATTTGTCTCAGTCAGATTTCTAACAACTTTGCTCAAATCCTAGAGATAGAAAGTTCGAATCAAAATAAAATTCTGAGTCGTTTGTTATATTTATCATTTCAAAATATTCATTACTAGAAATTTTAATCAAACTGTATCAGCCACTTTCCTAATCTGCTATAGAAAGCAAGAGTCAATGGTCCTAAAAATCTTGCTAATAGAAAGTATAAATTATAACTAGTAAAAAAATAAAAATAATATAAAGGAATGATCGCATTGAACAAGATTCAAAATTTGCTATATTTCTTATTCAACAATGAATTTTTATTATATTCACTATCGATCATGACGTTAACAACATTAGAAAATATCACAAAAAAAAAACATATCTAAAATATTATTATTATAATGAAATTGTTTATAAAATGTTTGATTTTTTATCGATATTCGAATATATTTTGTTTATAATATTTGTCAATCGAGAATGTTACTGCCGAAAGAATATATCATAGAATATATTAATCATTTTATTTATTCATTGTGACAAGGACAAATATCTAGTACGTTGATGTTTTTCATTCTTCAATAGCTAACATTGATATTAAAATAGGACTCAGGTACGGTCAAAAAAATAGAAAATGGCCTTGAGACTCGACTCGCATTATGAAACAATATTTTGAACTTCTAATTGGATGTGCAATCTAAACGTTTTGCATGCACAAAAGCTATTCTGAATGTTTTGTTTCCATTTAGAAGTTCTATAAGAGAATCTGAAAAAGCTAAGTAGAACCAGAAGTTATGTATTGTACTATCTTTTCTCCTATTTCGCTGATTTTTTTTTGTCGACCTTGAAAAATGATGCATGGCGTATGACCTGTCTATTCAATAGTGATCAGGGACGGCTAGATTTTCTGAAAAAAAAGGAAAGCTTCTGAATACTTTCTGATTTTGGTACCTTTTGCTGAATTTTTATGGTTTTCTTCCGAGTTTTGAATTTTTTTAAAACACAATTTTATTAGTGATGAAAAATATGATTATAACTCGTTACTATGATCATGCTAAAATTTAAGATAAGAATGAATTGTGACTATTTAAACACATAACTTTATTTATTTATATTTTAATTCAAGCATACTTGTTAAAGTAAAATCGAAAATATGAACAATAATATAGAACCGATATTTTATTAACTGATTTGTTTTGTAGAAATTCTTAATTTACATGATGTATATTTTGTTTGTTTTTATGTTTTTTGTGAATGAAATTCGAGTCTAGCGTAAGAGTTGAGTACTAAACATCTTTTGTACTTTCGTATTAGTTGAACAATATATTTATGGTATGTTATTTTTTTTCTCAGCAGAATACAAATGAATATAAAGCATTGGTCAATTCAAAAGAATGTTTTTTTCTAAATTGTTCCTGATTTCGCTAAAAAATATCAAAGACGAAAATACGACAAGAATATATCTTTTGTTTTCAACTAAGAAATGAAGAGAACAAAAAAGGATTTAAAAGATAAATTTTCCCAAGAGAAAGACAGGAGGCGCTGATAATAAAGTTCGAATTCGATCAGATCTAATCATGAAAAAGAAACACTTGAAGTGAAATTGGGCCAAAAAATGATTCATTCAGATCGGATTGGATCATAAGAACATGAACAATGTGAAACACTGATTGATATTGCCACGCTTTAATGATAGTATACATTAACGTGTATCAATGAAATTGTACCCCGCAAACAAAAGAGTATGTATTTATAAGTCGATGGATTATTTTGTTTTGAAGTATCAGTTAGATATCGGATCATCCAATCACAAAAAAAAAGAAGCCTCAAACGGTAGTTTTTACGTGTGTCTTTTCTTACGAATAATTGATATTTTCTCATAACATCACAGCAAAAAAACAAAATTACAACGCATATTAAATCCTTTTGTTTATCTATCTCTTTTGCGCATATTATTTATTTAGCTTAATTATATCAGCAGTTCGTTCTGTATATAAACAGCATGCCTAGTTATACTTCTGTATGCTTATTTTTTACCTTTAATAAAAACAAGAATACACATTAATATGCATTGGCTTCTGGTGGTAGGATGGTTTTTATTAATTAATCAATCAATAGGATGTACAGTACCCTCATTTTCAAGCTTACAAGTTCAACCACATTTTAATCTACACAGATTTCTTGGTATATGGTTCGAAATAAAATGGTTTACAACTCAAACTATTAATCCAACTGATGTATGGAGTGATTCTTCTCTATCATTTCAATTACAAGGTCGTCCAAGACAACGTCTTCTTGTTTACGGTAGAGCACGAAAAGTTAATGCATCACAATGTCACTCATTTGGTCCATGGTTAATGCAAACACCTGGTGGTGCAAGACTTTTTCTTGAAAAAGATAGTCTCACTAGTAATACAATACTCCATCAGCCTTTTTATGTATTAAAAACCGACTATAGAAATTATGCATTAGTTTATCAATGTTTGACACCAAATTATAGACTAAATCAACCATGTACAAGTCGAATTTTATATATATTTAGTCGAAGAAAATTTTTACCATGGAGATTTTTACATCCACTTTATCGTTATATTGCAAATGTCTTGTGTATTTATCCAAGACAACTTAGAACTACATCTCATACAGTATCATGTTATGGACGAATTATGGGCTAACTGCTGTAATAGAGAACTATCTCCCTAAATGAACAAATAACTTAAAGAACATTCACGAACTCTTTAGTTTCTAACAAACATTTTTAAACAATAATTTACAAGAAACTTCATCCAAGCATAATTTTTTTCTTTTTTTTTTTGAAAATTTTCAATTACTATTTGGAGTTTATTCAATATAATTTTTTCTTTTGTTTATTTTACGTAGTTTATATTTATTCCTATTATACAAATAAATGTGTCTGACAAGACGACAGAAAAAAAAGAAGAAGAAGAGAGAATTACTTATAGTGATATTGTATTGTATGAAAGAGTGAACTAGATTAGTAATTTATTCATCAACTTTAGTACGAAGTGAATGTGATTCTCGTTTGAGTACCTAGGAAAAAAAAGTAACAAATAATGATTAATTGAGCTACATTCAAAAGAAATAAAAGTATTTATTACATTAAGAAGTGTTTGTGAACTTTCAAGAATTTTCATATAAGCAGCTTCAGTTTCACTTATTGTTCGATCAAATTCTGTTCTTGCTGTAATTTTTTTTGCTAAATTTTCATTAATTTTAGCTAATTTTTCACTTGATAAACGTATTTCATTTTCAAGTTTATGTTTATCTTCTTCTTCAATTAGAATTTGTCGTTGTAATTCATCACGTTTAGCACATAAATCTTCAATACCTATAAATAAATATTTAGAAAAAAAAAAGAAAGAAAAAACTAAATATATATATATACATTTAACTAATTCATTGTTATAATTTTGTAATGCAGCACCTTGTTGAGACATGATCAAAATGATCGGTTGAATCAGAAACAAAAGAAAAAAGAATCAATTCTTATCATCGACAACTGTCATTTCAGTTCCATGGTAATATAGACATAGAAAATCATTCGTCCTCTCTCTTTCTTTTTCTCTCTCTGCATTCTTACTAAGTTATTTAAGCAATGGAATAATGGAATATATTGGGTATATTATGGAATAAGCAGAGATCTTTGATTGATAATGACATGGTAAACAAGAGAAAGAAAAACGAAAGAACTGTTTCGTTCTGTGTGTGTATGTGCGTGCGTGCGTGTATTTTTTTTTTTCTTGTTTGAATCTTGTTATTAGACATGGGATGTCTATTTTCATTTTTCTTTCGTCCTACGGCTAGTGCCGACATAGTTGAAACACCACGTCAAGTGTTCTCATGGTACGAGACTATTTTGCTTGTTATTCGTGCATAGATTTATATTCTTAATTTTGCTTTTTTCTTTTGGTATAGGGAAAAAGAAGATCGACAAGCAATAAGAAAAGAAGATTTTATTCTTGATAAACTTAAAAATGAAATAATTTATCGATTATCAGGTTCTATTAATGGACAACAATTTATAGGTATGATTGAAAAATTTTTATATCGATTTTTATTCGTAATTTATTGATTTATATTTCTAGTACAAAATTGTGACGTTAGTTATTGTAGTTATTATTGTTTGAAAATTTATTTTATTTTCTTTAATTAATAGAATTGTACCGTTTATGTATTTGATCATACAGGTCAAATACAAATTGATGATTGTACTAATTGTCGAATATTAATTGGACCTGTTCATGGAAGGTATAAGAAAATATTTTTCTTAGAAATAAATTATATTAATTTTTTTTTTGTATTTAGTGTTTTTATTCGAGATTCAACAAATTGTATATTAGCAACAGTGTGTCAACAATTTCGTACACGAGATTGTCGTGATTTATATGTTTATTTATCATGTACTAGTCAACCAATAATTGAGTCATCACATAATATTAAATTTGGATGTTTAACATTAAATTATGATAAATTAGCTGGTAAGGATTAATCAATGATAAATAAAAAGATTAATTTTTTATTTCAATCATAGAGCAATATAAATTGGCTGATATTAATCCATGGAATAATACTTGGGGTAATATTCATGATTTTACAACAATTCCTGGTGGAAATAATTATTCATTACTTGATCAAGTAAGATGAGTTTATTTTTTTTTGAATTGAATCGAATTGAATTTTTATATTTTATTTTTCAATAGAATGAAAATTTATTTAAACATTTACCAATACCAATAGATCCATCATGTAGTCATATGAATATAAATGATAATATGGAAACAAGTGTAACACCTTTTACTTATGGAGAATTATATCGTCATCGAAACGAAGAAGTAAATTATAGATTAATGAGCTTTTTTTTCTTTTTTAATTTTTTTGTATTTTAGCGTTGTTTAGTAGTATTTTTTCAAAATTCAAATGCTGATTCTTGTGCTCGAGAATTAATTTTAATGGCAAAACAATCAGAAGTTTGTCAAATTTTCAGATTAAAAGAAAAAATTTTTTTTTTTGTTTTCTAAATTTAGATTGTACTTGTTCAAACAAAATATTTTTTAATCAATGAAATGAGTGCTTCACGATTATTTTCAGGAAATACAACATATAATTCTTTAGTTACAAAAGGTCCTGTTATAGGTCTTGAATTTGCTGGTACAAATTGTATACAAATATGTCAACAATTACTTAATAATTTAATAAAATTAAAATATCAAAATTTATCTCGTAAGATTTATATTGATAAAAACTTTTTCTTTTGTGCGAAACTAAAATTAAATTTTCATATTAGATTTTATTAGTCAATCAGCAACAGATGCTAATGAACAACTTCAGAAATTTTACAATTTTGCAAGTATGCAAATGTTTACATAAGATCATATTTCATTTAGTTATATTGTCAAATATCAATTTAAAGAATTTATTCATATTTAATTATGTTTTAATGATGATGATGTTGTATTTGTATTGATGTTGTCTTTATCCGTCCATAACTTTTAACAAAAGAAAAAAAAAAGAGGCCTACTTAATGAATCAGGAAAACAAAAAAAAACCTGAATTTAAGTTATATATATATATGCTTTTGTTTTGTAGATTTGACTGTTTTTTTTTGTTGTTATTTATAAATGATAAAAAATTGTTTAAGACAATGAAAGAATGACCGCAACAGGTGTAAGTTCGATTGATAAAAATGCCTCACCTGGCGATCAACAACGTTTAAATGAAGGTAATGGTAATGATTATGAAGATAAAATTGTTCAAGAATTTAGTCATCTTTTGGAAAAATCAAAACAATTATTTAATGGATTAAGGTAAAAGTTTTGCTTCTTTTGTTTTAAAATTCACATAGCAAAGAGAGAATATAATTATATTTCATTTTTGAATTCTGCTTATGAAAAATACAAAATTGAATGATTGAGTTCTCTTTTTGAATAACTTACATTTATTTATACTAAAGGTGAAAAAGTAATGTGATTGACATCTCTTTAAGGGCATCCTCTTTGCTTTGTCATATTTCTCAAGAATCGCTTTACCAAAAATTATGAAACTTTTTGGGGCACATAAATCTGAACTAGTAGAGTTAAAGTTACCATCCACTCAGAATTCTCAGATGTTTCCTTCTATAAGATATAAGGTGTATTGGCGCCAAATATGACCTGAGATTTTCTGTAAACAGTCAGAGTTTATTTAGAACTAAAATAATGAAAACCCTGTCAGAAAATGTGTTTTGATAATTTGTAAGATCTACCTGAAGTCATCAGAATATTATTTAAGGAAAATATATTTATATACGCCCTGATTGGATGTTAGTTGTGACATAAAAAATTTCAGTTCAATCAGTCGAGACGCGTGGGAGAAAAGTTAATTTTGAGTAAAACGCTATTGTTTTTTTCGGTATTTTGTGTTTTTCATGTATCGCTGATCTACAAAACATGTTTTGATGATGAAAGAACTATATAAGGATACATTTGAATGTCTTATTCGATACAAAAAAAAAATTTAGAGATTTGAAATAATGAATGTCGTTTGTTAAATAAATCTTTCTGCTAGAAATAGAACAATTTTCTGCTTTTGAAGGATATTGTCTACTTTTTTTTTTTTCTTTGTCTTTCAGAGATCTTCCACAATATGGTCATAAACAATGGCAACCATATTTTGGACGAACATTTGATGTATATACTAAATTATGGAAATTTCAACAACAACATCGGTATAAAATATTATTGTTTTTTTTGGTTTGTTTTATTTTAATTAAATTTTATTTTCTTTTTTTCTGTAATCAGAGTTCTTCTCGATAAAAAATATAATCTTAAACGTTGGCAAATAGGTGAAATAGCATCAAAAATTGGTCAACTTTATTATCATTTTTATATTCGTACATCGGAAACAAATTATTTAAATGAAGCTTTTGCATTTTATTCTGCTATACGTACACGTGCATATTATTCAAAAGTAAATCGTGAAGAAAAACCTGATTTAATGGTTAAAAAATTACGTTATTATGCACGTTTTATTGTTGTTTGTCTTTTATTAAAAAAAACAAAAATAATGCGTGAATTAGTATGTGAATTAAATCGACAAATAGATGAATATGTTAAAGCATATGATCCAGATGATAGTCTTGAATGGCAACTTGTATTAAATGAAATATCAACATTTATTGATGTTGATAATCAATTAAATATTGATCATATACCAATAACATTATCATATCGTTTAAATAATTCATTAGTACCACCATTACCAATAGGTTCAGAAAAAATTTTATCTAATATACAATTATATACAGTTGAAGAAATTCTGATTATTGGAAATTATCAAGATCAAATTAAATTTAGTGAACGTAAAAAAACAAAAAAAAAGAAATTTCTTTTGTATTTATTTAAATAAGAATATTTTATCTTTTTCATTTAGTTACAATTGATATGTATCGAATGTTACAAGCTGTTGAAAAACAATCAATTGAATCAACATTATCTTATGATGAAAAAACAACTGTTCAATCTCCAACATCAATAAATCATCAACAACGTGACATTTATGTAAGAATATTTAATTTATCAATTTTTATTATTGTCACAAGAGACATTTTTCTATTAATAATGTGCTCTCATGTTGAAACTACTATCGTGATTCTTATAATAACTATTGTCCATCTATAAAAAAAAAGAGTTGATGCATGCAACTATTTATTGAATAAGTCGAGAAAAAAAAGTGATAGAAATCTCTAGTTGCCACTAAGTTCGAAGGACTTTTTTCATGAATGTTGTTAAAGTGACATTTTTTTTCGTTGTCTTTATTCATCAGAGTTCAATTAAAATGTAGCCGAAATCATCCTGTATTCCTACAGAAATTATCATATTCTTAAAAAAAAAATCCTCTTGAAGAAAAAGAGCAACTGAAAATTTTATGACGAATGTAGAGTGATTTCGGCTACATTTATGTATAATTTGAATTAAAGTTTGATAAAAAAAAAACGGCGAAAAATATGTGAATTTACAAGTAGTAGCTAGGATAGAACACTTCGAACTTAGTGAGTATTACACAGATAGATACTTCCGATATCGCTCTATTTCAAGTAATGAAAATCATTGTTTTTGAGTTATTCGAAAAAATTGTCATACTCAGCAACTTTGAAATTTATTTATCATATAGTAAACAATTCTCATATCTTTCAGTTTAGCGTAAATCATTTATTCAAGTAGAAAAAAATTTGATTTTCTAAGAATTTGTAATCAGAAGAATTTATCTAAAAAAATCAAAGAGTTTGAAAGAACTTTTCTAATATTCAAATAGAGTTTCATAATAACTAAATGATGAAAAACCTATAGTATCTTTTGAAATTTTTCTATGAGATAGTTTTCTAATGAAAAGTAAATCTCATAAGTTAATTATTGAATATTTAGAATTTTCACGATGGTGATTTTCAACATCGACCAAATCCTCATAAATATCTTTTATATAAACCAAATTTTAGTCAAATCTATGCTTTTACTGCTTCTGCATTTAAAGAATTACCAAATCATGGTATTCTTCTTCTTTATATATCAGCTGATGGTTATGATACACATTTAAAAAGTAAAATAGAACAATCATATGATTTTGGTGGTGTTAAAACAAATAATCGTCGTGATGATACAATTGAAAATTCTAATTCACCACCAACATCAACAACAAATACATTAGGAAAAAAATCTCCACCATCATCATCAACAATAACAACAACAACAACAACAACAATAGGATCAATTAAAGATATTCATAATATATTTCCAGGAGATCTTTATCCATTTTTACGTAAACCATTATTTTTAATAATTGATAGTAATAATAGTATTGCTTTTCAAAATATGCCAAATTTATTTGGTCAACCATTTGTATCATTACTTTCGCCTATTAAATTACCTACAGTATTTCATGGTAATCAAAAAAAAAGAAAGATTTTTTTTCTTTTGATTAATTTTTATTTTTAATGAAATAGATTATCAAAATAAAGGAAGTTTATTTACATTATTTTTAACATCACCTATATATGCATTTTGTTTTGTATGTCATTTAAATGATTTAACAAATGAACAATGGAATTTATGTCAAGAACATATTAATAAAATTATATTTGAAATAACAAAATTATTTTTAAAATCAAAACTTGTTGGTAAGAAAAATTATGATTTGTTTTTTTTTTAGGTAGAAAATTAATATTGTTTGTTGTTTTTTTGTAGATAGTACAATTTATCATTTTTTTGCGGATGAATTTTTACGTTTATTTCTTTCACGTTTTGTTTTTTGCTATGCTGTACTTCGTTTACATCGAGCATTTAAAGTAGGAATTTACTTTTTTTTTTTTTTGTTATTTGAAATATAAGAGAAAAAAAACAATTATTTCTTAGGGATCTGGTTTTTATCCATCATCTCAACCACAATTATCTAATGATCTTCTTGAAAATGTTCAAATACATAAAATGATTCTTGAATTATCAGCTGTATTAAATGTTCGTCAATTATTTCTCGAAGGACCATTGACAACTACTGATTTAATATCATCAAATCAATAATAATCTAGTCATTTAAATAAAAATATATGAATAATAATCTCAAGTGTTTTTGTCTATCTTTCTCTCTCATTTTTTAGTCTTCCGATGTTTGATGTATTTAATATTTTTTTTTGTGTCGATTTTGTTCTTATGCAAGTGTATTATCTATTATAATGTAGTGAGTACTTTTGATATTAATATTTAATCGTGTTTGCTGTGTGCAAGTATTGTCATTTTTTTTGTGTCTTTATTGTGAATAATCATTTTCTCTCTCTCTCTCAGTCGTTTCTTTTTTGTTTGTTTTCGTGTATGAAAATTCTTTTTTGTTTCTGCTTAAAGGCATTGATAGTCATAGATAAAATTGATGAATGGCAGAAATGCCAGAATATAATTTAATGATGAGACAAATGAGAAGTTTTTTTTTGTTCTTGTCATGAAATCTTTTGTTATTTTATTTATGACATAATTAAAAATGTGGATTTGATGGATTATTATAAAACATTAGTCTGATCTATTCTTTCATCAATGGAATGAATATTTTTATTAACAAGAATTAAGTTTCTTTCGTTGACAGATGAGATACATTAGAATTTGAGAAGTGTTATAAATTATTGATGAATAAAGAAAATTTACTAAATTAAAAGATAAAGAATTGTATTCAAGTATAAAAATAATAAGTACTTAAGAAGACAAAAAAAGTGGATACTTATTTAAGAAATGTTCTTTTTTCTTACATATACAATAAAACAAAAAATCGTACAAATTATAAGCATTTTGCTAATTAACAATTTCAAAACATTGATAATGAAACCCGGAATATTGTTTCGCAATAATGTAGAACATTTTTATGATCATGATTTATAACAAAATATAGAAAAAGATAAATAGTTTGTAAAGAGATTATAATAATTTCTACAACAGGGATATTAAAGTTACCTAATAATATAATCAAATTTGGAATAATTTATTATATCTCAATCTTGGATATATTTATATCTTTATGTACATGGCAAATGTGTACTGTATATAATTCTATAATAGTGAAAATTCTAATTTATCATGAATCTTAAAAACAAAAAGTAAATAATCTGATTGCATAGTTAAGTATAGCGAGATAATCTTTTTATAGACTGTCATATGTCTATAAAACTGCATTGATTATTATAGTCAATAAATAAATAATACATGTGGAAAGAAGCTCATTGTTGTAGAATACCTATGTTTTATCTCAAATCATGCAAACATTTCTTTCTTTATGTATAAGGAACAGAAAGAAAAAGATAAAATCCATAAAAATATTGAAACTTTCAGTAGTTGTTTTGAGTCTTACGAGAAAGTTCAAAATGTGGTTTAATTATTCTTTAATCATGAATGAAGATCTTTTGCCTAATGATCCTAAATTTTGGAATCAATTAACACCTATATATTGTGACACTGTTCGAATTATTGGTATATTCATGTGTATTGCAGCTGTTATTGGTATTATTTTAAATGGAGCTCTCGTTTATAGTTTTATTCGATATAAAGCTCTTCGTACATCACCTAACATACATGTTATGTTTATTGCAATTGTCGGTCTTTTGGCATCATGTACCATTCTTCCATCAACTGGAACATCATCAGTTTATTGTAGATGGTTATATAAACGTGCTGGATGTCAATTGAGTGGTGTCATTGCATTTTTCTATGGATGTTCAAGTTCTTATTTACTTTGTGTTGTAAGTCTTAGTCGATGTTATATTATTATGCGTCCATTTGCTGCTAATCATATTACTGTAAGTAACAAATTTATATATATATATATTCAGAAAGAAAAAACAAATCAATATAGGTTAGAAAATCTGTCACAATTTCAAGCTGTGTTGTGTTGATTGCTTTTATTTGGTCACTGTTACCAGTTTTTGGATGGAATGAATATGTTATGGAAGTAAGTTTTTTTTTGTCATATTTCTCTAGTTTCATATATTAGAATAATAATCATCAGAAGATATTTAATCCTTTTTTTTTTTGCATTTCAGTTTTTAAAATTCAAATTTCTAAAGCATGAGATTACAATAGATGATATCTAATATATACATATATATATATATATATTTGTTTTTGTTAGGGAGTTCGTACTTCATGTTGTATTAATTGGTATGATCGACGTCTCACTTACATATCATTTACATTTTTTCTGTTCCTGTTTGTCTATTTTATTCCGTTGGTAATTCTTGTTGCAACAAATACTGTTACTTTAATTGGTTTTAAACAAATGCGTGAAAAAATCAAACGTGGTATACATACAGTATTTACACGAAAACGTATTGAAATGGAACAACGTATTGTTAAAAGTAAGAAACGATTTTAAACAAAATATTAAAATAAAATTTTTATTGAATTTTTTTTTTGTAACATAGGTATTATTATAACGACATTAGGTTTTATTTTCACTTGGACACCATATGCTGTTGCATTGTTTATTTCAGCATTTCGGGGTAAATATTATGCTATGCCACCATTAATTACTTTTATTAGTGCTTGTTTTGCTAAATCATCGGTTATATGGACTCCATTACTTTTTATTGGTACATCTACTCAATTTAAATTAAGATTTGTTAATGTAAATCGATTAAATTATTGGACAAGAGCCAATCGTGTAGCGGGTAAAATTGTACATACATTTGCATTGGTTCGTAATAACAACAATTCAATTACTATTCGTACACTTCATACAGTTCCTGACAAAAGAAAACATCCAACAATACAGACTAAAATATATTCCATTTAGCCTTTTAAATTTATTTCTTGGCTCATTTAATAACTGATGTATCTTCTTTTTCTTTTTGTTTTGTCATATAATATAAAGTCAACACTAGAATATAATAAAATAGCAGTCAATTGAGTTGATCGTTTTATTTTTTTGTCAAAATAATGATGGAAACATATTAAATAACGATTTCTTTTGATTGTAATTCATTAGAATATAATTGTAAGCTTTTTAAAAATACATTGGATAAAGAAAAAGAAAAAAAAAGAGATTCTAATAGAAAAACTACTTTTTTGATAAAATTTATAGTTAATTTTATTGTGTTTAGACAATATATAGAAGTTAAGAATCATTCATACAGGATATTTCTGCAGTTCTGGATATCAACGAGAATTAGTTTATGTACAAATACAGAGTGATTCCTATTCAACTATATCTATATCAACTTCTGGTACTTAGGACGATGTTTTAAAGGACATATTATTCGATAGCATTATCTTTTATAATAATTAAAATCTTGAAATCGACCAGTATTTTTTAAAAACTTATTCTCTGCACTCACACCATAATCATTACGTTTCTTTTGCTTCTTTTTTATTAAATAACAGTTCATTAAATAAATAAATGAATATAAAAAAGATAAAACATATATTTTATAAACAGTATACAAACATTGAACTGACTGCAATTTTTCCATTAAAAAAAAATGTTCGATTTTAATGAACAGAAAATAGTAAAAAGCAACTAATGAAGTTCAATATAAATGGTAGCCAAAATCTAACAACGTTCATATTAGTGCTCGAGTATATCTATCTGTCTGTATACATGAGTCTTCAATTTTGCGCAAAGTTATGTATAAAAAAAAAGAGAAATATTTATAATAAGTGTCTAGACATCTTTTATTGCTGACTTCCTATCAACTCAAATAGATATCTTCATTGCTTTAAAACTAGAAATAGATCATTTTTTCAATACTGGACCTTCTACTTTATCTTGAATTAAATTCCATTCTACTATAATTATTTTTTCTAATCATGAAAGATACGTATGATATTTGCAGAAACTTTTCTTTTGTTATAGCATATTGCTGTCCGTTTCTTTAACTTCTTTTTATGGATAATAAATAAAAGAATTATTTTTAGTAAAAAAAAAAAACAAATTATCAAGACAGAAATTGACAGAAACGTTTGGTTTCTAAAGTAAAATTTTCACTCATTTAACATATTTCACCCACTATCTTTGTAAATAAAACATAAAATATTCTATATTTATTATGTAAGTGAAATATCATATTTACTGACAAGAATAATTCATCTTGTTGATAATTATTTATAGCCTTTCGCCATTGGCTCGAAAGTAAGTCATGTTAAAAAAAAAAAAAAGTTGAATTAACTGTAAAATCTAAAAAAAAAAGAACAAAAAGGGCATTTCATATAGCCTAGAGCGTATGTTGACTTTAGCAAAAATAATCAAGCAAGAAAAAAATGTATTCCTATATTCTTTATTTTTCTTTTTGTTCTCTTGTAAGTTGAAGAAATAGAAAAATTTAAGCTCTTCATTCATTCATTTGATTTTTTATAACTTTCGACCGATTTAAATTTAAATAATGAAAGAGTATGTCAATAACAGTAAAAGAGATGTAGGGATCTTTTTATTCCATACAATGATCAAATTAATATTAACCCTTCGAAATCGGTTCAGTTGTTCTTCATGCTTCAAAAGAAAAATTTAATTCTATATACATAAGCTTTAAAATCAATCTTTTCTACATATTTGCATATGGGTACTACCTTTTTTAGTACTAAGAGCAGCTATTGATTATCTCTCTCTCTTACAAATTTATTTTATATGCAGTAGTTTGTCAAAATTCTTGATCTCAATCATTGCTCACACTACTTTTGTAATGTTAATTTATTTCTGCTGATTCTAATATATATATATTTGAATCGCCGACAAATAATACCATACATTATTCCATTTCGATATAATGATCATCAACTATCGAAACAAGCTGATGAATCAAAACACGAATATTCTGATTCAAAACAACAAAAAGGAACCTAAATCAAGTGATTTATGAAACATATCAGTTTCTTTTTTATAATCGACATTCGTATCTTTGCACTATATTCCGCAATTGAATGAAATTCGAAGGTTGTCACGTTTTTCAAAGAGCAATGCGTTTATTTCAAACTACGATAAGTTATGTTTTCAAACTTTCAATGTGCCTACTGAGTGGCTAATAAATAGCATTACGATAAAAAATATAGCAGATAAAATAAGCAAATACTAGGTATTATTGTTGACATCATGCAAGCATTTTACTTGTTATAAAGTATAGGTACGAATTTTAGCGTTAAAACTGACTACTTTTGGAAAATTTCTCTGCATATATCAATACAAAATCATTCATAAAGTTGATTTTTGACTTGCTCTTATTATTCTGTTAGATAAGAGAGACATATGCACAATTTCTTATCAGTCAATTGAATTATATTGCGACATCATTGTCAGAAACTATGTAATTGTTGGCATTGGAAGATTTGATTCAGCATAATATGCAGAAACCATTGTAAAAATTCAAATAAACAAACTATTAGAATTGAATGTTGTAAATTTTTGTATGTAAAATCTTTATAAATGAAACAGTTCTTAAATATTTGCAAAGCATTGTCTAATCAAAGCCTTATCTATGTTATGCATGTGGGTGTCTGAGTTTGAGCCTTCCCTTGATTGACACTCAAACCTATTATAACTTTCTGTTCAGTACTGCGATGTCTAGCCACTAACTAAAAAAAGTTTTTTTTTTGTCTTAGGGGTCAACGAGGTCACGAGTCGCAAGTCCTAAAGATAGCTCGACCTGAACTGAAAAAACACCGAAATTTTGGATTGGATCAAAAATACTGTGGACAGAAATTCATGCAACCCATTAAATTTTCCAACTAAAATATCAAAGTGATGTTATATCTATCGTCATCAAATACAGAATAAGATAAGAACGGAAAACGAATGAATTACGAATCTTCTGAAACAAGTCATATGAAAAGAAAAAAAAAAGAAAAATTCAACAAAAACCTGATGAGAGCGAATAAAAAGTCGAAGACAAATATATTACAATTAGTAATACATTTTTCAAGTGATAGAGCACTACCGTTTGTACTTTACTCTACGATGCTAACAATGCTTATCTTTGTTAAGTTTCTCTAAATACTTTAAAAGTAAGTTATGATTGTAGCAATGTTTTTTATCAAACAATGGCCATAGAATAAATATCATATAAAGTTATATTTGTTTGAAAAGCCTTAAACACAATACGAGAACGAAGGTGAATTTAAGAAGTATGAGTACTATTTCTACATGATGACATCCATCACATTTATTACTTTACGTTTCTTAAAATGCACGCAGTATGTTTGAAGCCAAATAAAATATATAGATTTCTTTATTCTTGCAGTAGCAAGCACCACCTACTTCTTTTCAGCTGTACTGTGGGGTTCGTTTTAAGAGATACTAAAGAAAATCTTATTAAAATACTAGAGATAATAAGATTAAGTCGAATGTTAGATAAAGTACCACATATTTTAATTAAAAGAAACTTAAACTCAATTATGTGCTTAGATAGTAGCAAATATCCAATAAATACAATTGATATTGGAAACAATATAAAAACAGCATTAAAGTATGTATTTCTCATTGAATTTGTTAAAAATATTGAATTTTCATGTTGTTTTATTGTTCAAGAATGGTTGGTTTTGACGCAAGCAACAGAGACACTATCAATCCATTGTACAGATGCCGAGTGTGTGACTTAATTTTACGAGAACCTTGTCAGCTTTCATGCGGTCATCGTCCATGTAAAACTTGCATAGAAGCTGTTAAAGGGTATATATAAATAGATTGTTGATTTCAATTGAACATTGTATTTCTTTCATCAAGAGACATTATTAAATGTGCAGAATGTCAGAAAGAAACATCAAAAAAAGAAGTCAGTTTTTAAAGTTGCTTTCTATTTACGAAATAATTCTTTTTTTTGTCAAGATAATACTCGACCAAGGTTTCAAAAATGATATGAAATCATTATCAATTACATGTTCATTATGTTTATGGAATGGTTTATTCAAAGACTATGAAGTAAAATAATCATCTTAGATGAAAATTATTTTCATTATTTATTTTAATGCTATGATGAATTCATATTTCAGGAACATCTAAAAACAACTCATACGAATCCAGCATGTGAATTTTGTGGAGAAAAATTTGATTCAAAGATTCGACTTGATGAACACAAACAAAAACTATGTACTAAAATTATTGTACCTTGTGCACTTAAGGAATATGGTTGTTCGAACTCAGTAAGTTGAAGTTATTTAAACAAATAATTTTGCTATATACAACAACAGAAATCACTATTTGTCAATTAAATAGTATTTAGATTGAAAACAAATAGTCTTCTCTTGTTAGTTTATTCAAAATAAAGATTATTATCGTAAATTTTAATATTTTATCAAGAGAAAATATTAAAAGTTAAACTTTAAAATTCATATTTACTTCTATTAGCTCTTCATATTCATTCCTTGAATTAATAAAATAAACATTATTGTACGGTTTCTTTAGGTCTGTCGAGCTCAATTACAAGACCATTATTTGAGTTATATTCATCAAAAAATACTAGCTAGTATTATGCATCGCTTTGCATCGAGAACAACAAATGATCAACATGAACAAGGATCAGGGATGGATGTTGATGTCGGACAAAGTGCTCCTAGCTCAATCACTACTACGACAAACGAAAATGTACGTCCACAAATGCAAGAAGTATACGAAACAATAAATATTCTTGCTAATGAGACCTAAACATTAAGTGATCATACACAATATCTTAGTAGTGAATCGATTCGTTTACAAAGTTCTACCGAATCTGTGACACAAGAACTTTCATCACTCAAATTGAGTATTCAAGAACGAAATTCTTTTTTAAATGATGTTAAACCTAATCAAAATATTGTTCAAGAAAATGTTACAACATTAAAACCAAAAACTGATAATATGCAATATGCATCTTATGATGGAACATTAATATGGAAAATAACGAATTTTCATGAAAAAATGAGTAAGTTTCATTTGAAGAAAAACAAGATTATATCATTGAAGTAGACAATTCAGTTTCTTCGCCGATATTGATTATAAATTTATCGATTAGAAGAAACAAAAACAAAAAAAATACTCTTTAAGATCATGTTTTGATTGATTTATTCATTTTCTAGTGGATGCTCAATCGGAACGACAAACATCGATTTATTCACCTCCATTTTATTCGTCATTTACTGGCTATAAAATGCGAGCTAGACTTTATCTTAATGGTGATGGCAATGCTCGACGTACACATATGTCATTGTTTTTTGTTCTTATGCGTGGCCCAAATGATGCAATACTAAAATTTCCCTTCAATTATAAAGTTACATTTTGTCTGTATGATCAAACTCCTCAACAACAACATATTATTGATTCATTTCGTCCTGATATTAAATCAAATAGTTTTCAGCGACCACGATCAGAAATGAATATTGCTAGTGGTATACCTAAATTCTTTCCATTGACGATGATTCAACAAGAAGGTAATCCATATGTAAGAGAAGATACAATGTTTATTAAAGTAATGGTTGACTTTGATGACATGCCAAGAACATTGTTACCATATGCTTTGAGTCTTAATCCTGGATTACCTATACATATTCAACAATTAATGATAAAACAAGAAACAGAACGAAGAGCACAACAACAATCTCAACAAACACCTACATCACTTGGAAATCGTCCCACAACATTGGCAATGCCACCAAATAACGAAGTATAATGAAGCCAAGCTATATTTAATATAACTCCATCATCGAATGCGACAAATATTAGTGATAGATCATGAAATCTAATCAATAGTCAGGAGTTAGGATAGCGCTAAGTTAGAAAAAAATATTTGACCTGTGTAGATATTTTGCAATATGAGTTGGAATCAAAAATTCGAAAAGTGTTCTCATAGGAGCTACGCAATTTGGGTGATCTGTCATTTGAGCCTAGAACATTTGCGAATAGAATGATGAATCTTCTGACACATTTACTCTTGATGTTTTATATTCTTGATACGTCAGTGGATGATCTTGCCTGTAATACATAGTTTGCTTCTAACTTTAGTAATGTGATGATGTAAACCTACAGTTGACTTATAAAGTTTTTAACAATGACAGTGTTTGTGATGTTAGTCAATAAGACTAGACATATTCAGATCAAACTAAAGGTTTCATCGGCAAACTAGCAAACTTAAAGTATAGGCTGTTCTTCTAGTCTATGGACCGAGATATTCGAACTTTAAGATGTTTTGCAGTTTATGTGAGGTCCTCGTAGTTCAAAAATTCAGAAAAACTTTGTTTTTCGTTTTCTTTTTTCGTGATAGCTGGATAGAGCTTCTCAAATTGCATAAGAATGAATATGTTTTGAATTAAAACCTTTTTTTGTTCTACGAAAAGTTAGCAAAAAGAATAGAATAATATCCGTCAAAACTTTCCTTTGTCAAGTTTTGTTGAAACAATATAAGACGTCATTCACTGTTGCAAAGACACTAATCTACAATATTGTAACTTGTTGATTGCGTTTAACAATAAAATAAATCTTATGGATTACACTTTGTAATTTTTTGTTGTACCAATGTTTTCTTGTTCTTAGTTAACATTTTGATTGTTCTTACATATTGCCATTTTTTTTTCGTATATCATATAATGAAAGATAACTTTAACATTCTTCTTTTTCTGTAGTCCTTTATTACAAAAGAAAGTTTTTAAATAAACCAATATCCAACACGACCAAAGTAAACTGTTGCTTTATTTTTAGAAAAGATTGCCGCTGGAACAAATCATCAAAGGAATAGTTATTTTTCGTCTAAACCCTGTGATAAAAGAACAGATAAATGGAATTGTTTTTAAAATAAGTACAATTTGAAGTATAGAAATGAATCATTAACTCAGCAATAAATGATTGATTAAAATATTTATTCAAAGAATTTTAAGTAAACGGCTATTTTTTCTCGTGAAACTCATTCTAATCATCTCAAATAACAATTTGCTTTGTATGTCAACCACGAATGAATTTCCTTTAGTAAAAAAAAATGTTAGTCAATTATCAGTTTTCGAAAAAATGCAATGTTTAGGATCATTCAAAAAATTTTATTTCCTTTTGTGTTATTTAAATTTTGAATTAGTTAGTCGAAAATCTATTTTACGAAAACTACGAGATCAAGTAAGATACCATTTTTTTTCAATTTAATCGAGTATCTAATATGGATCATTTTAAGACACTTTTCGATCAAGGTTTCAAAAAGCGCATACAATCTTTACCAGTCATATATTCACATTGTAATTGGACTTATATCTTAAAAAACTATCAAGTAATATCAATCAATAGCATCGTATTCTTTCATTTTTTATGTTTATCTTTCAAAGAAATATCTCGACCACTCTCATCAAATATCCAAAATGTAATTATTACGATGAGCAATTCATTTCAGGTAATCAACTCAATCAACATAAAGCATTTCAATGTCGAAAGATTACTGTTGAACGCTTATTAAAACATTTTCGTTGCTGTCAACAGATTTATATTTTCTATAACAATAAAATTTTTAATTCATATCTTATCTTATTTAGATTCTTCGTTGTGAATTAGCAAATTATTATCAAAGTAAACAACATCGAGATTCAATTATTAATGTAATTCGAAAAATGAAATTACAGTTAAGAAATACTCAAATGACATCTAATCAAATGGATACTGCTAGTCTTCGAACAACTACAATTACAGATGACAGTGTTGCTGTAAATCAATTGAAAGAGCTTCATAAAACTATCAATACATTGTCAAATAGTACTGGAACGTTGAGCGAAGATGTCAAATTTTAAACACTGAATCAGTTGTACATGAAAATAAGCTACAGCATTTCTTAGAGAAAATGTTTCAAACGTGAAATAAGCTGCTGCAAAGAACATTTTTTTTATGAAGGAATTACACGAAATCTAGATATTATAAATCAAGATTTAATTTCAATGCAAAATAGGATTGATGGTATACACTGTATGTCTAATGATGAAATATTTTTATCTGGCTGCAAAATGCGAGCTCGATGTACACATGTCATTTTTTTTGTTCACATGCGTGATCCAAATGATGCAACATTAAAATTTTCATTCCATTATACAGTTGCATTCTGTTTGTATGATCAAACTCGTCAACAACAACATACTATAGACTCTTTTTGACTAGATATTACATCCAGTCGTTTTCAAAGTCCACGATTAGACATGAATATTCACATTGGCAAACTGAACCCCTTACTTTGTCAATGATTCAACAAGACGATAATCAATATGTTCGAGATGATGCAATGTTTGTTAAAGTAGTGATTGATTTTGGTAACATTCCTGATAGACTCTTGCCATTTGCACTGAGTCTCAATCTTGGGTCGTCAAAACATATTCAATAAATCCTAATTAGACAAAAAACAGAAGCAGAAATTTCATAGCAATCATATGGCACAAATATTTATCAGTATAATTTCGGCTGTGAGAAAGCTTCACATGATGAGGATGTTTTCGGATGATCGTTAACTTTTTTAATGAACATTTTGAATATTAATCCAGATCTATTGAGATTGTAATATCTTTAAAAGGATTTGTATATGAAAATATTGTGATGAAATATGAATCCCGGTTTTTTAGTCATAAATTAAGAGCAATAATTCGAATATTCATAGTTTTTCAAAATTCATATTTTACATTGATTATTTCTAACTAAGAAAATTTGATATTATAACTGAATAGACAACTGTTAACATTCTTATATGATCTTTTTCATCTGACTTTGATCTGTTATTAACTTTACTCATATTAATGTACATTTGATAGAAAATTGATAGGATGATGGTCGACACTTATAAAGTGTAAGTAATCGGTTTAATTGTTAAAATTTATGAATGTCATTGTATAATAAAAAAGAAACAGTAACTGAATTTAGTTAGTTAATTAATTCATGCGCAGTTAACAAAAGTTATTCTGAATTAGCAAGTGCTCACCAAATAGACAATCATCGTGAATGGATCTTGTTTGTACCTTGATTAAAAAAATGTTTTCTAGAAACAACGAACAACTCTGTTCTGAGTAATCTGTTGAAGAGTCAACGCAATCATATAATGAGTTTTATTTTTCTCAATTGTAGAAGTTTTCAATGAATGTGATTATGTACATAACTAAATATCTTCAATGGTTGTATGCTTCGAATTACACCTTAGTTATTTATTCTTTTTAAACAACAAAATAGTCTAATTATCAACCTTGATTTCTTTTTTCATTATTCATAAATAACTTAGTAGTGCATAACTGCGCAACTATTCTTCGATTTACTAGACGACATTGATAATGTGAAAATGAAATATTGAATGTACGTAATTTGTGATAGACTTTGTAATAAATAACTACCACATAAATGGAGGGTGTATGCAAAAGAGCTGCAATTATATGCAAGGTGTTTTTCTCTCTTCTTTGAAATAACAAGATTGCAGCAGATTTTGTAATTATAAGAACCATACTTGAAACGCATCCAACATTACGCTTCAGGTGTAACTTGTGAGAAATAGCACGTGACGGCTGCGCGGTTCTCAAATTTGTCCGAACACACATCTATTTATTTGAGAATGAGTCATTCTACGTCTCCAGCCCTCCAATGCTGAATTACATATCTGATAAGAGGTGTGCATGCGTCTTTTGCCTTGGATTGCACACCTGACAAACGGAGAGTAGGAAAAATCAAAAGTGCATGTGTACCTGAATAAGTGAAGAAATATGAAAATACACGAAAGATATGACAAAAGAAACTAATAGAAAAAGAGAATATTACCATTAAGTAGTAGTTCTTCTCTTTTTACAATTTTTCAGTACTACCTAAAAAATTCCCCTCAATCAAAGCAAATCATTTATTAATTAAAAAAGAGTAAGACTTTCAAAAAGATTTCATGAAACATATAGAAGAGAAAAATATCGAAAGAAGAAATGTCGAAGAAAGAAACTGAAAAGAAAAAAAACTGGATATTAGAAAAAATTTATAATTGTGGTTCAATAGATATGATCTTAAAAGAATAGATGTTGAAAGAAAGAAACAAATAAACGGTGCGAATGAACAGAAGACATCTAACAATCGTACCCTCCTTTTCACATTAACTGTTTTTTTTTTGGTTTTGTTTCTTTTCTACGTTTTTCTATCCATTTAGTTTTAATTAATTAATCAGTATTATTATTTAGTTAAACATTAGAAAGGAATGAAATAAGCGATTTTAACTATATCATGCAAAACAATGAATTTTTTTCATTAGTTCAAATTTTTTTCTTTTTTATTACCTGATTGTGGGAAAGCAAATTTGTTTACAAAATATTTTTTTCTTTTGCAAATGAAATCGATTCACCTTTACACGTGTGCATAT